GGATAGTGCTCAACCCCTTTGGTTCTCCTGCCACTCAGTGCAGATTAACTTTAAAATCCAGAAAATCCTCCGCCACATACAAATACCCTTAAAATAAGGAGAAACAACAAACACCATTGTACTTATAATGGAGATCAGATACACACAACCAAACCGGATCCAACTGATAATACCCAATAAACCATCCTCATCCCAGCCATCCCACCTCAACAAGCCACTCCATTCATAATCACAACTTTTACCCCCTCCCCTTCGCCACAACTTTATCCCTGTTTTCAACCCACAAATTACCTTATACTTCACATCCCTTCTAGGAAATGCATCATCATGTACATCAAACTCAGTAATTCAGGCACCCTCAAACAGATTCTTAAATCATTCTAACATTTTGAGTCCTCTTTTGACTACTACTGTGCAGATACATTCATTGAGCTGTCCACAATGACTGCCCCTCCCATCTGCAACTCTTTTCCCTGAGTGGTTGCAGTTAATTTACAACCCAGCAATATCTATGAGTAGTTCAAATGGCTCCTTTCAATGTGCCCTGCCTTGCACTTGTTCGACATGACTTTCATGTATTATCAAGTTGCCAGTCACCCAGTTATCCTTCAGGTTCAAATAACCGCTACAGAGCAGCTCTGCAGCCTGGGGGAAGAAAATTTCTCCTTGCAGAGTTCCTCAGTACCTATTTCAGTTACTTGTACTGGATGCTTGGAAGAAGATTTGACCTACCTTCAACACAGGACCTAGGCCTGATCATGTGAATTAAACGGTTGACCCTCCCCTTTGTTCCAGAAATAAAATTCAATGTAATTAATTACTCTTTCAACGTTTAGATAAGTATATTTTGCTGCAATCAAATCAGCCCATCTCCTCCAAGATTAAATTGTGTTTCTTTCACTTGCAGGGATTCTTTGAACAACTTAGTAAAATACTGAATAAAAGAGGATTCACTGGGTGTAATGTACTTGGAGTTTCATAAAGATGTTAAAAGTGTCCCTTATAGGGCTGGATATTTTAAGCAGCTGTCTTGCAGGTATAACGTCTAAGAACCACATTCTGATACCCTTATTCACATTAATTAGTATCTTACTCCCCAAGTAGTCCCATTGATTTTCATGGGACTACTTTTGGAATAATCGAGTCAGCATCTGGTCCTGAATTTGGCTCCATTTCATCCATGTCTACAAAATGTTCCCAAAAGGTATAAATGCCACCTCCCATTGGCCCAACTCCTTCCCTTCACCTTTCCTGCTGACCTAACTCCCTTTTGCCATGCCATCCCAGCTCCTGGGCCACAATCACATTTGCAAGGTTCACTTCTATTACTTCTTCCCAACTTCTGGGCCCCTCTTCTGTTTTATCCCTGACTAGCTTGCCTCCTCCTGCCATCCCTGTGACTTTATCATTAAACTTGCCAGAACTTTTCACATCAAGGGCTTGATTCAACACTGTTATTCTAGTTTTCTGATGGTGTAACTCTCTTGAAATCAAAGGCAATATACTGACAAAAACTGGAATACCGGTGGTGAAACAGGAACTAGGCCTACAAATTTTCCTTTAATGGCTTTGTAAAACTCCTAACCTGCACAAGACTCTATTAAGAGAAACATATCACCGCAGGATAAGGGGCAAAGTCGTATCATATTGCAGCCCCTCTCCTTAATGGTAATAGATTTTGGGGCCTAGCAAATTGGTTTCTGGTTGGAGGACAAATCAGTTATGCAGAGTTTGGGTGTTTCCTTAGTACATGTTGTTTATTTTACATTATGTACAGCAGTCCTTGAATACAGGTGGTCATAAAGAGCATGCTGGCAAACCTCCCTTTCAGAAATCTCAGCCCAAACACCAGAGCCAACTTTGTACAAAGAACTGATTCTAGTTAGATTAAAGCAGAAAGCAGACTCTCTTGCTGTGTGCAACAGCTCCCCACACAAGAAATTACATCACAAAACTAACAACTGCACAGCTGGTATTCAAAAACTGCTAACATGATAGTAAGAAGAATGTATAAAATTATGTGTAACAGTGCCATCTGGTGATTCCCACCATTACAATATATTGAAAACTAGTTATAGGAAATGGAGTAACAATAAATGGCTGTTCCTCGGATTGGTGAAAAATAAAGAGTGGAATATCTCAAGGTTAGTATTACAGAGTGCTAGCGAAAAACAGGTGACTCAAGCAATACAAGGAGCTGACTTTTCCTAGGGACAGAGCATTCTGTTTTTCTGCTACAAGCCCGGCTAACCTGCTAATTTGAGAAACAAGAAGCCTGAACGCACCTCCCTTGCTTCCAGTACAAAGTGCAGCCACTACAATTCACTAGACCAAGTCATGTTTTTGTTTCACAATTCTAAGACTTGCTGAGGAAAAATGGTTGAATTTTTTTCACTGTTCCAAAAATATCAGCTCATTTTTCTTCTGACATATGAAATACCACTTATTTAAAAAGTAATATCTTAAGATGCAATATATTATAGAATACTGTAGCTATGTATTTTTTTGTGAGAGACAGTTGTACAATAAATTAGAAGCATCCAATCCCTCATGTATAGAATTACAGATTTTTAGATGCAGTTTTATTTCCAAATTTGTGCTGTTGGACCTAATCCAAAACCCACAGAACTCAATGGAGAGACTCCCATTGACTTAAGTGGGGTTTGGATCAGGCCCATTAGAGTGTTGTCTGATGGCAAAATTCTGCTCAGTACCAGACATAATTTTGACAGTCACTGCAAACTATATGAAGCCCTTTCCACCCAATAAATAAGTAAGTAAATAAATAAATGGACATGTGAGAAGATCACCCCAGTGATAAAAGTGATCATTTACCCAGACAAATGGCTGTTTTTTAAGCTTATATAGAAAAGCAGGTTTAAGTCTAATTTCCAGTTCTTCTGCCGGAGGAGTAAGGTTTATAATTCCTACAGAATAATAATAAATAATAATAAAGACTAATAACATTCTTGACAGGGAAAATTGAGAAAATAAGAACAGCAGTTGCAGGAATGACTGGTAAAATTATGTAATTGACACTAACCTGAAGATATAGGTTTAGACAAAATGTATAATGGCGAAATGATGGATTAAACCTTTGAGAGTATAAAGAGGCTTTCATCTACTTCTGATTCCAACAAAGATGAGATTACTTTATGACATGATTTGACAAATTGATGCAAGAATTATGCTGATAAAAGAGAATAAGAGTCACAAGTTAAAAATATATTGTTCCAAATACATTTGAGAGGGACATGTAGAACAAATGCAGCCAAAGATAGCAAAATTAATGCATTTTATAATGCTGCATAAATCTAATTTTTCACACCTTTGTCCTTTTATTTTAATACACAAAGAAAACATTTCGTGTAATACAATAGCCTTAAAGTTAGAAATGAAAGTAACTGATGAAGGCTAGACAATTTCGTAAAAAATGCTTCACTGGAGAAGTTAAAATAAAAGGCACTTTGCAAAAATTATCTTGCTATTTCCCAGATGCTTTTACACGTCTATCTAGTCTGAATTCTAAGGGTCGTGCAGGTCCTGGCTGACAGAATATCCCCAGTAAATGACATGAAGTGTTGAATAAGATTTGCAAAGTTTACTCTTCACATTGATGTGCATTCATATTTAAATACTGCGAGAAATAAACTACACCCAAATTATCCACATAAGACTGTAGAGCTGCATTTTTACATCAGGGTTCTAGTGACATGTTTAAACTAATATAGCCCTGCTTTTCCTGCCACAGGGAGAACATAATGGCAGGTAGGGGGGAGACCTAGACCAAGATATGACCTCTTCCTCTATCCTGAGTTTTGCTACACTCTAGTAAAAACACTACCTGCCTTTAAACCTATGAGGGATACTGTATCTCACACTGTTCAAACCCCTTCCTTCCACATATTTATTCCTTTGGCACAGCATATCCTAGGAGCTGTAGAAGAGTGAGGTAGTGTCTAGTCTATCTTGTACAATACAATTAAATTACCAGCAAAATTGTGGTAAAGTAGAAAGCTCCCCATGTCGTTTTCAGTTCTCAAAAGGAGTTTGCAGGACCACTAGTTAGAAAACTCAGTTTATGCCTTTTAATCAATGATGATTAAATGATCTGTCAATCATTGAGGGAAACAAAATTTGGAATCCCTGTTGTGTTACTTTTATCATCACTTTACTGACTATAACCGTATTTAAGATAAGAAAAAAACAATCGAACTAAAATGTCCAAAAGTGAACATGTGGGGTATTATAGATAGTGGGGTGAGTCTGTGTTACTTTTTCACAAAAACTTGAGAAAAAGAATGCTTACATTTTAGATGCAAAATGTCACCAAGCTGTAGTCCAGACAAGAAACAAACAGAATATATTTCAAAAGGGCTCCCCCTTTAACACTTTGAAGTTGTAAGTAAGTAAAATAACCCAGTTTTCCTCCAGTTCCTTTTGCTCTGATGCTAGAGTAAACAGACTGATTCAAAGGAATTTTAAAAGAAACCGATAGTGGCTGGACTGAAGAGAGACTCATGGGGCTCGCAGAGAAGGGCAGACGACGATTCTGTGTTCTTGAATGTAATAACAAATACTGTAATTGACAAGGATACGAGTGTTATTAGCCAGCATAATACAGAGCCTTTTCCATTTAGCTCTGCTTCTGTACCCGATTCTCCAAAGAGGGAGCTATGTTCAATTTACCTTTCCTTATTCTCAAACAACAACAAAGAACTTCTGAAGTTTCAGGAGAAAGACAGAAGTCAGGCCAGGCTGTCTAGTAGAACAGAGCTCTTTTCAACTGCTAGCCAGTGTCCAACCCAAGCGTAATGAAAGGTAATTGGCCAGGCTGTTATCTATCTGCAGCCCACATCTTGCTTCCAAATGCCTCTAATTGAATTGCTGTAATTTTTGCCCTTCCTAATGCAGTGACTTGGCGAGGGGAAATGACCCGGGGATGTGGGCGGCTCTCGATTCTCCCCCGGGAGAGAGCCGCGCCTGCAAAGTTGCGCTGCAACCCATAAATAGCGGAGGGGGAGCGCTCTTGGGCTCACAGGCATTGCAGCCCCCCCACTCCATTGCATCCCCTACTCCGTGAGCGCACCGGGGCCATGCAGTGAGGAGTCCCAGCTGTGAACATCCATTCCCCAGAGCAGCCTGCGGACAGCTCCCTGCCCCACTGCCAGCCAGGACTGAACCCGCGCAGTGAAGAACAGACCAGCGCACCCCAACTCAAGGTACTTTCCCCTTATTTTTAGCCTCTTTGCCTTCTGAAAGGCAAACTTTCAGGTACATGAAATCTTAGACCGTGGACGCCCTCCCTTCTGACCCCCCCATATTAGTGACTGCAATGACTTGTGTGTAGAAGTGGGGAAAGGGGCAGGTATTGTAAAGGCTGATCTCCTGTCTCCATGCCCCTGTGAGGTCAGGTTCCGTCTCCAACTTCGGGGGTGTTCCTGCTTTTTTAGGATTTGACATTCTCTGCCGTTCCTTCCTGAACTTTCAGATGCACGGGACTCACCCTTCCTTCTCATAAGTTCCTCCTGCCTCGATGTTTCTTAAGGCATCAGGTCCCTGTGGGAACCTAAATCCATTTTAACCCCCACACCTAGGATCCCAAACGGGGAAGGCAAAGCAAATAACCCCGAGCGTTTGTGGTCTCCTTTCAGATGAGGAGGTGGACTAGTCTCCTGTTGCTCTCTTTAATCCTTTGCGCCACCCTCTCGGAGACATTTGGACTCGTTTTATCAGTAAGTATAAACTTCATTTACAGGGGCTCTATCCATTAGACACGCTCACTCAGCGTCTCCGCTGACAAGTACCAGTGCGCGCTACGCTGACGGGCACTCTGGTTAGACACAGGGCTGAGCAAAACAAAGCAAGTGCCCGAGAATATTTTGGATGGTGGATGAACAATTGGGAATATTGGACATTTGAATACTCATCTAATTATGACAAATGTACTACAGAGTAGTTAAACAAAACAAGGGCTATTAGTTTTATACAGTAAAGTTCAATGAATGGCCATCTTAACTTAGAAAAAAACAAGGAATGCTTTTTTTTTTTTTTTACATAAAGCTTACAAAATATAAACAGCTGAGATACAATGACAAATTGTGTAAATCCAAACAAGTATCTAGAGGGAAATAGTTATACTTTTCAGTAAAGCAGATTGGGAGCAGGTCACATTTATTTTAACTTGTAAAGTTTGCATTAGAAATTTTAATGTGTGATTTGCACTTTCGTCTATATAGGGTCAAAATCCCGATCATGCTGAAGTCAATGGCAAAACTCCCATTGACTCCAGTGAGGCCAGGGTTTCACCCAAACTGAAATAACACTTTTTTTGATGAATAAAACATATCAGCTCATTAGAAACCCTAATGAATCTGTTTGCACAAACCAACCTCCCAGATTCATGTTTGTGTGTGTTTGTTTGTTTTTTTTTTTTTTCAGAAAGTATTATGTAAATCATGCAATAAATAACCTACCTGCACTTTTCCCTCTGTAAGGCAAAAGAAAAACGGGGCTGGACTTTGAATAGTGCTGGTTACCTGCTTGGGCCACGTAAGTCAAATATTTAATTTTTCTATATTTTTAAAATTCTATTAAAAATGGTCACTTGACCCTATTATCTGCTAAGAGTGTGCTACCCACTAATCTGGCTATTACATAAAACTAAAGAGTGTTATTTCAGAGAACTTTCAATTAGTTACACATCTGAAGCCTGGGATAGAAACAAATAGAATTTAAGCTTCCTCTTTAAAAGCAATGCCATGTATAAGCACTAAATTATATGGAATTACACATTTGGGTACTCTTGGAGTTCCTTAGTGATAGTGAGTTGTAATTCTTAGATGGCAAACATCTTATTACTCTAAAATAGTAGCTTTACCTCCAATTATACAATAATGATCACTAACTGTATAGAATCTAAGAGCATTTGCCTTGCTAAGTAGTTATAACATTTTATGGAATTTTGGAGGTCAATCAAGGGGGAAATACTATGGGTGAAATTGGGCCCCATTGAAATCAGTGGCAGCTTTGCCACTGAACTCAGTGGGGCCAAGATTTCACTCGAAATCTACATAAAAATGCCCAGATGCATAGCCTTCTGATACTATTCTTGGACAAAACAAACTCTCCTAAAACTTATGCTCACATAAATTTGTTAGTCTCTAAGGTGCCACAAGTACTCCTTTTCTTTCTCTGAGATTGTAAATATCAGTAACTTACAAGAGGAAAATTAATTCCGTTTTGTAAATAAAAACAAACACCAATGTCTGAGAGGCTGAAAATGTAAAGTTCAGGTTTCCAAAAAAATATGGAGATGAAAAGTGAAGGTGTCCCAAATAGGCTAAAAAGCCTTCCTTTAAAACTATTTGTAGCTGATTTAATAAATGTCATTTATTTTTACCCAAGGTTTTCAAGATGCTGAGAGGCATAAAACATACAGACATCTATACCTACCTTTACTACTTTTTATGTTAAATATTACTGGGGGTTGCCTAGTTTCACCCTCTATAGTCTATGATAAACGTTACAGATAATTAATACTGCTGTCCATATAAGGATCATATTTTTTTTTCCTTTATTCACCTTTTGTAACTGACCTTGGGATACAAATGTATGCATCTTTGATGTATTTATTGATTCTGTAAATGTTTTGTAAGTATATTTGTGTTAAAGCAGCAATGCCAGAATAGACTGTGTTGAAAGACATACATGACATTCTGTAATGAGGGCATATATTTGCCGAGTGCCATTTCTCTAAGACTGGATAATAGGCATCATCCTCTGTTGCCAGTTGTATTGATCAGCTTTTACTGATAAAGGAAATGCCCACTGTAAGGGGGAGAGAAGAGAGCTTTTGGAGGTTATTCATGTAAACTAATAGCAGTTTACTTTTAAACAAATTACTTAGCACCTTTTTTTTTGTTTGTTTTAAAGAGGCAAGAATAGCAAAACTACATTCCTAAATTACCCATGAATGGTCCAACTCTGCATTCCTTGTACACCCAAAACTCCCACTCAATTCAGGAAGAGTTTGGGAGTGCAAGCAATATAGGAATGGGCCCTTAATGGATATAAACTACATACGCACAATTTTAAAAAAAAAGCTTATTAAGGAATTATTCTTTTGATTCACTAATTGTACATCATTCCATTAACAATCCCATCATGTTCTCGTGCACAAATGAAAAGAAAGCTCAAGAAGAGACTTTTTTTTATAGCCATCTCAATAAAATCCATGAAAACCAGGCTGGAGACTGTAAATGAAATTAACTCTTCATCTCTAATTTATTTAACAGATGCAGTAGATAATCACAGATCTTTTAATGACAAACATGGCCTAGCTGGTAAACGTGACATACAGCCTGAAGAGGACATAAAAATAGGTAATGAAATTATGAAACCCAAGAGTTTGTGCTTCTGTATACAGCATTTTATTTACTACGTTTGAGTTATTTGTACTGCCTGCAAGCAAGCTTAAGCTTCCATTTAAGGGGACAATGTACTTAACATACATGAATAGTCCCATTGAAGTCAATGAGAGTATTCATATGAGAAAGGAAAGCAAAATTTGTCTCCAGAGTTTGGAGATCATGACCTGAATTATGTGTATTCTGCCTCCAATAGCTCAAAATGCAGAGTCATACATTTGACTGGCAGGACAAAAGCTTTTGAGTTTCCTTAATTTTATCTAAATTTAACACGTTTTACTATTAAAACCTACCTTTTTTTTTCTTTATGTTCAAAACAAAGCTTTCAAGTCTTTTTGGACACTTAGTCCTAACTGATTAGCCCAGGAGTGTGATCAGTAAAGACAATATTAGGGAGATCATAGATTAGGGAAAGGTATAGAAACAGGAGACCCCTTTTATCATACCAACATAGAGCTGAAAGCTGTATAGAGCTGGATTTGAGAAATGGATTTTTTCATAACCCCATCACAAGTATAATTGTTTAATTATGGAAAAATTATACAGATTCTTTCAATTAGAAGACGTAGGTCCTGATCCAAAGCTTAATGAAGTCCGTAGGAGTCTTTCCATTTAATGCAATGGGTTTTAGAACAGGCCCTTAATCCTGAGAGGTGCTGAACATTCACAACTCTGGGCTCAATGGGAGTTAAGTGCTCTGTACTTCTCAGGATCAGATCCCTATGGTATATCTTCCTGTTTTTCGCAAAAAGAAAAGGAGTACTTGTGGCACCTTAGAGACTAACCAATTTATTTGAGCATAAGCTTTCGTGAGCTCACGAAAGCTTATGCTCAAATTGGTTAGTCTCTAAGGTGCCACAAGTACTCCTTTTCTTTTTGCGAATACAGACTAACACGGCTGTTACTCTGAAACCTTCCTGTTTTATAACCCTTGTTTGTATTGTACATTTTTTTTCTACTTTATGCTGAGGGTAATGGTTCAAAATTCAAACTGTACATCCTAAATCATTTAATTTTATTCCTCTAATTCCTATGTATTGGTATGCAAAAATGTTACTTTGTTCAAAACACCTTATTTTTCTTTAAGCAAATATTTAGACCAATACAAAAGCCATTTCCTTTTCTTGGTATATCTGAAACTTTTTTTTATTGAACTAACAAATACTCAGCTTGCATTCCTAGACAAAGGATGAATGATGCTAGAGGCAGCTGAGGAGCTTCTGCAGAGGCAAACGTTGTTTTTTAGTTGCCATTTATTGAGGTTTTATTTTAAATACTTTGTATAGAATTTTGAATATCAATTTGTAATAATAAAAAATACATATAAAAAGTGATGTGACAGTCAATGAGTTAAAGCAGGTACTCAGCTGGATATTATTAACAGGAACACACCACTTCTAAACATTTATATAACAACCAACTTTCTCTCTTGATTCATCATTAAACAGAATTACAGCTTAGCAGCAGGTAGCTTTTGCTTTATAGAATTGCAGTTTCATATCTAGATCACACCTACATGGTAACACCATGTTAAGGCAGCAAATGTTGTAAAATTTCCATCAGCAATTTCCATCAGCATTTCCTCTGACATCCTGCTCTCCCAATGGAAGACATACCAGCCTCTCCTCCCTGGCCATACATATGGAGGCTCTGTGCTCCTACAGAATCTCTAGCCTTGCTACTTGGTAGCACAGCTAAGGCGTCCCTTAAAGGAGGGGGTTCCCCACTGAGTTAGGGGTAGGTGGGTGGGGGTGTGTGAATTTTTAAGTATAACCTACAGGTCTCCTCAGGACCTTCTCTTGATCTACCTTTTTTTTTTTGCCTGTTCCACCCACTACTTGCTTCCTTCTAATCTACACAGATCTCCAAACACACAGATAGCTATTTATGAGGTCCAGAAGAAGCCTTGGGAGCTGTTGTGACTCTCCTCTGTATAGTGAGGGAGTGATCCACACATGGAAAGAGCCCTATACATGGATCAAAAGACATGATCTAGTCCTCTGTTAGGGAATCTCAAAATGAGATCCATTTCTCATTCCAATCCAGAGAAGGCTGATAGTTATTCCTGTGCTCAGCATTGTACTAACAGGGGAAGATAGTCCTGCTCCAAGGAACTTACAATCTAACTCAAACCCTGACAGTACAATAGAGACACATCTGATAGTCAACAAAGGTCCAAAATTCAGATAAGGTTCTTTGCTTATTACTTATTAGTAGGAGAACATTGATAGGCCTCCCATAAGTTGTAAAATTCTGTTGAAGACTATTAGTTCATTTATGGTTATGGTTGTACAGAAAAAAAATTTTGAATTGTTTCCTGAAATGTTGGTGCCTAGCAAAGCAGGTATAATATTTTGCTACTCTAAAATATTGATGAAAGGGACAGTTAGTGCACTCTGATCTAGTAATACTTCTGACTGACTCACTGTGTTTTCCAGCTGTGGACATGTAGACCGTTCTTTTGTAAATATGTGATCTGGAAACTATACATCGTGGAGCTGCACACGCAGCTTCTTAGGTGCTGCTGCGTGCCCTCAATTCCCAGTGAAGCTACCCCAAGTTGATAGTGCTCAGCACTTTGCAGAATGGGACCTAAACTAAGTTACAATCTTTGTTATAAACTTCATTTAAGCACACTCCTTCCATCATCTCTGAAAATCTCCTTTGCACCTGAAATGTCTCATGCAGACCCTAGTCAATGAAGACTTTGTTTTTAAGTTTCACTGGAATTGAATCGGGTATTTTGAAAAACATATCTTTCACTTGTGGAATGTAGTGGCTTCTTATAAAGTATCTTAAAATGGTAATTGTTTACATGTTCAAGGGGAACTAATGCAGTGGACTATCTTTTTTAATAAAATTATGTCCAAATTTATTCACCCATTTTCTCTGGAAATCTGAGCCTCTGAGGTCCCTTCAGATATAAACATCTTGACTGGTGTTGCAGAATTTACAAGTTCCACAGACAGCCCTGGAGGACCTTACAAGCACTGTAAACCAAATAACCTGAAGGCTGCTTTAATTTATATCAGTACAGAAGCTCCAGAATCAGGGAGCTGGAACAAGCTCCCTGATGTCACCCAATTCTTGCACCAAACATATTTCAGTGCAGAAGAGAATCTGGCTGTTTTTCCACTGAACTTTTAAAATGAAATGTAGTTTCACAGATTTTTCTGAACTCTTACAACTTTAGTCACAGTATGAATATTTGCTGATACATTCACTATTATCTGTACATTAAATAATATCCCATAAATGTTTTCTAGGTAATTTTGGGAAACCAGCGGTTGACGACAATGTTGTACGCACAGTAATTGAATTTTTGACTTACTTGCATCTTAAAGGTTAGTAAAGCTCTCAATCATTTAAAAGTACAGTTTTATTTCAGTCACTGCGGATCTAATTCTGTAATCCTTACTTGGACAAAACTCTTGAATAAGAGCTGCAGGACTGGGATTGAATGTATAATTGTAGATTCATGTTTAAATTGTGTGACTTTGTTGAGCATCACTGGAGAATGGTCTTGATGATGATTGATATAACTCCTAGGACAAAATGTGCTGAAACAATATCACTGAATATGCATATTAATAAATTGATATCTGGAAGAAACTACTTAAAGCCTGCTCCCACAAAAAACTTATGGAGATGCTTAAAGTTCAGCATACAAGTAGTGTCACAGAAGTGCAAGACATTAAGTATATGACTAAGTGGCCACAGGATTGAGATGTTGACTATAAGCTCCTTGGTGCAGGAACCATCTTTTCATTATGCATGTGTACAGTGCCTAGCACAGAGGGGTCCTGATCCTGCTTGGAGCCTGTAGGTACCATCAAAATGATGACAACTGCTAAAACTGTTTGAACTATCTTTCAATAGGGTCAATGTTTTTACTCAAAAGACTGAATAAAAGGAGATGTTTCAAAGTTTATCATCAAGTTGTTTTTACATTTGTGTAAGACAGTGACAAAGAAAACAAATTTTCCCTCCATTGGGACACAGTGGTGAAGTCATATTCCCTGAAATTGTGACATCACTCACCTGTGTGGCAACAGTTCAAACAGAGGCGAAACTTCCTGTGAAATACTGGAGAACTATCTATAGGACCTGCAAGACTGAGAACTCTAAGGATGCCTAACTAAGGATTATGCCTTTATTATAGCATCAAGAAAAGGGAAAACCTGGGTGGTTACTAAACCTCTATTCTCACTTTGAAGGTCTTCGTGCATTTTTCAGAAAATTTCAGGCAAAGTAAATTGATTTACGTAAATATACCTTTTTTCAACTTTTCAGCCAATATAGAATTGCTCCTTTGAACTCTGCTACATTCAAAATATTTAGAAAGTGATTTGCATTAGAAGGAAAAAATAACAGGAACATTAAAGGCATGTATTGTAATTGCAAGCATATGGATCTTTCATTCAAAAGTCACCAATTCTGTCACATACCTTCTCTATAAATCCCTACCTTTGACTATAATGAATTATAGACACTTTCATAACAATGAATTTACTGTTAGATAAAATTACAGATGCTGTGTTAATTAATCAAGTTGCAATGGGGGAGGTTTAGATTGGATATTAGGAAAAACTTTTTCACTAAGAGAGTGGTGAAACACTGGAATGCGTTACCTAGGGAGGTGGTAGAACCTCCTTCCTTAGAGGTTTTTAAGGTCAGGCTTGACAAAGCCCTGGCTGGGATGATTTAACTGGGAATTGGTCCTGCTTCGAGCAGGGGGTTGGACTAGATGACCTTCTGGGGTCCCTTCCAACCCTGATATTCTATGATTCTAATGCACTGGAATGATACATTTGTCATTTATTTTCACTTGTGAAAAGAGATTCACAGTCTAACTTCAAGATTATATGAATTTTATAAATTAAACTCTGGACAGTTTTGGCATCCTTTTCTAAAATGATCTATGTTGGTTCAGAAAAATATTCACTCCTGAGAATACTGTAAATACTAAAATACAACCACAATGTTGACTAAATTACATTGCACAGTCTACAGAGACTGTGTGTGTCTGAATGATATAGTTAAGGATCTTTGAGCAGAACTGTCCTTTCCAGGGATTGAGAATAATTCAACTGTCCTGCCTCTGGCACAAAATCTTAGGTTTGCTTTTGGACTTTCTCAAACGTTTTTCAAACACAGCACATCCCAGTTTACCTGAATCTCATGGAGCATGTTTGAATAAGTTAACTCAATCAAACTTTGGGAAAACTGAAGGGATTTTTCAAGATCTGAGAGGTCACAGTAGGACATGACCATGTTTGGGATAAGAGTTTTCCAGATAACCCTGGTTTTGCTGTATAATAACATTAATGTGGATTAACTGCACAAAAACCCCTCCTTTTTTTGTAAAAACAATTGACATTTTTACAGAAATGTCAAATAGGCAAAACTGGGGCCCAAATCTTCTATCCTAATTTTGAGAAGTAGCTTTTAGAGGGTAACCTATTAAAATCAATGGATCTGCTTGCAAGGTGAGTTATGGTCTCTGGAGGCTTATTATGCAGCTGGGAGAGGGTGGCTCCATTTCTCTTCCCACTTCCTGCAGAGCATGTTTACTTAGTCACTGGGTGGAGTACAAGTATTTTTCCATTCAACATTTTTACTCATCTGATAGATTACATGGATCTAAAATAACATTTCCAAACATTCATACAATGCTCTAAAAATATCCATTCTTCCAATCTTTCAGTACTGTTCCTCTCTGTTAACTGAACATTGAGCATCTGTCCAAACCCATATTTACAGGGTAGACACTTGAAATAACTTTTTGAGGACCCAACTTCCTCACTTGAATAGCCTATGTATGGGTGAGTGGAAAGTCGGTATCGGTGAATCCACCCAAAACTTGGGAACAGTAGTCACTGCATGAACAGCTTGAGAGCATAAATGGCTCAGGGAGGGTAGCTCTTGAGACATCCTTGATCAGTGGTATTGATCCTCTTCTCCCAACAAATCATGTGAAGGAAAATGCAAGCTTATTGCAAATGAGTTAGGGTTCCCATCCGGAGGATTATTTGGGCCTCAGTGACTAAGTGCTAAATGGAAGCTCAACGAGATCCTGATTTTAATATTGGCCAGCTGGTGTTTATATACCAGTGCAATATAGACATTTCTGTACTCCCATGTGTAAGCTATGTCCCAGTGTGGGGGTTGGAGCACCCTCCTGGGCAGGTGAACAGGAATGGCTGGGGAATAGGCTGAGCCCTGACCTCTGCAAACTGAGCCAGCATGGAGGGATAAGTAATATGCACCTAGTAAAGAGATGACACCAATTACTTGCCCCAGGGGTCAAGCGTCAACCAGGGGCTGAACTGTGACTTTCTGAGTAAAAATTAACCAGTCTGCTCTTTGGATCACACAGTTACATACTTCTCCTTACTGTTACAATCAACCTTGAGACTATACAAAAACCAAATTCCCTGGATCGTGCACGATGGCTTTTCTGTGATGCAGAACTGGTACTCAAAGCTACAAAACACAGAATATTAGCAAGTGATGCTACGTTTTTAGCTAACAATGGCTACCAGCGAAATCTTGACATGAATATGTAGGCCAATCATTATTTGATTTAAAAATATATAGATATATTTTCAGGCCAATAATAATGTAATGCTTTTTACACATCTACTCAAATGTCAGTTTATTACAATAAATATATTGATTTATGCATTTTCTTTCTCAAAATAATTCATTTTAGAGAAATGTTTTAAACAATAATGATTCAGATAATTCATATACTTCCATCTTAAAGAGAAGGGGCATATTTATAACAACACCCTCACAAGTGATTTCTTGGAGGTCACTATCACAGTTGGCCTTTTAGGCCCCAATTCTGAAACTGGCTCGGTGCGGGGGTCTGCCCAGCCTGAGCCAGTTGCAGGATCAAACAATAATAAATCTTATGATATGAATCAAAACATCAAGGTTGATGTGGAAGGTTTTTAAAAATAGTGTAAATTATAACAGGAAGTTATTACTTATTAATAGCCTAGAAATGAGCCATGAAAAGCATGAACCTGTTGCCTCATCTGTGGTTGAAGGGAAGCAAAGTAAGAAAGTTTAGCAATCCTAAGGCTGATTTTTAGGAATCAATTGTTAATACTAAACTTTGCACTTAACTATTTGTTGCTGAAAATAATGACTGTGTTTTTTCTTTTTCCCCTTTGCAGAGGCTGGGGCACTAGATAATCTACTTTCATCAGAAGAAACAAATCTGTCCTGAAAAATAATGTATTTATACTTTGTTGTATTGTAAATTTAAGACTGAACTCTAAACAGAGCTTTAAATGAACAGAAGATGGTGATTATTGTTTACATTACTCTTATACACAGTTACACATGGTAAACTACTTTCTGCCCTTTTTGTTTTGTTTTTTTTTCTGTGATGTTACAATGTAAGATTTTTGCCTTGATAAAAAAGTTTCTTTAGGTAAGTGGTAAAATAAAAAAAGAACAGCTGCATTTTGTTTCGTTTTCCTTACACTAGTGTTTTAAAATTACATACATATAATGCACAAAATGTAGTATATTAAATGCATGCTTAACTTTAAGTATAAGAACCATCCTAAGCCTGAGCACTGTCGCTGTGTCAGCTTAACCCCCTGTGTAGATGCAGCTAGATCAAGGGAAGAATGCTTCTGTCAGTCTAGTTACCATCGCTCGATCGGATGGAGCTCTACAGTGATTGGAAAAAACCCCTTCTGTTGCTGAAGGAATCTTCTAGAGTGTAGCACTACAGTTCCATAACTGTGGTGCCCATAGGGTAGACATGGCCCTATTGTTGTCAATAAGACTATTCATATGCTTAAAGAGCTTTTTTGGATCAAGGTCAGAATGCCCAGCCCTTACAGAATCAAGCCCTTCAGAAGGAACTATGGAACTAAGTTAGAGAAGATGTAATCCTCCCCAGGATGGATGCAGGCAATAGGACTGCAACTCAATCACTACACATACCTCTGGAGTAGACTTGGTTTCCTAGATCATGTGGTCTCTTCTCCAAGTGCACTGATAAGGGCCAGGGTAGAATCTCCTTCTACAACCCCTGCATGGCCACTGCATCTACACCCACCAACCAACCTGCTGCATAGACTCACCATGAGCCTTGGGAGTAGAACCCTGCAGTGGGACTGGGATCCTGTGGGTCCCACAGGACCTGCTGCCATAATAGCGGGAACAGGATTAAAAATTCAAGAGTGGGAATGGGTATTGTGGCAGAAGCAGGATTTAAAAACCAGTCCTCCTGCACTGAAAACAACATGAACGTCCCATTCAGCAGCCAACGCTCTCCAGCCACCCAACTCTGAAGGCAGCAGAACCATCAGCAACAGTGCAGAAGTAAGGATGGCAATGGGGGGGTCTCCCTGCCCGTGCCTGGGGATGGCAAGGCATGGAGGCTTCCCATCCCCTGTGCATGATGATGCAGGGTTTCTCCAGCTATTTGCAGGGAGAGTTGGAAGTTTCTAATTCCTTTGCATGGGGAAGGGAAAGACACTGGGGCTGCTCATCCCCTAATAGAGGTGTATAAGAATTCGGATCCTTCTGCATGGGTGAGTTGGCAGGGTCAGGGAGTTCCCATCCTATTGCACAGGGGTGCAGGGAGTGGGGAGACATCTGCTGAGAGCAGCTCATCCAGCCATTACTGGGACAATTTTAGAGTCCTGCAGTGGGACTGGGTTCCCATCGGACCAACTGCCATAACAGCAGGAATGAGATAAAAATTCAAGAAACAATGCAGGAGCAGGTGGGAGTGGAAATTGCGGGGCAAGAGTAGAATTAAAAAAAAATTCCTTGTAGGGTTCTACTGTACTTGGGCAAGCCAGAGAGCTTTGGATGGGTCCTCCACTTAGGTGAATTTTATGCTATGTGCTTACAGTGCTATGAAGCATTGGCACTTTAAAATGTTGCTGATCAGAGCAAGCAGATTGTCAGAAATTCCAGAGGAATTAGTACATAATCTGATATTCACTTTTAATATAGTTAAATCTATTCTAGTAGCTACCTCCAGTAACCAAACCCCTGTCCTTGTGGCCACTTTAAAGTTGATCAACATATGTTGTTTCTCGGATGGTTGCTCAGAGTCTGATCTGATGACCACCAAAATCAATGGAAGCCTTCCCTCAACTTCAATGGGTTTTTGATCAGGTCCATAAAGAGCAGGTGTCACTAGGATGTATTGGGAAGTAGTGCAAAAAGTTTTCACCATCTGAGCTGCTAGAAATATTTGAGAAATGCATGAGATTCCAAGACTAGCAAAAAAGAAGAAATAACAAATTTTAACCCTTATTCCGCCAATATTTTCCACACTGCCACCTAATGACCTGATCCAGGACTTATTGAAGTCAACAGAAGTCTTTCCACCTACTTCCATGGGTTTTGGATCTGGTGCATTATGTATGTTTAGGATTAATGGACCTCTCTGTAGTACTCAACCATAAGGATTCTACTCTTTCTATGGAAAAACAGTTGATTCCAATATCAAGTTCAAAGAACTTTAATTCAGTATGATTTTGTTTTCTTTTCAAATAGAATGAGAAATTCAGTTTAAAATAAAGTGAGCTAAATTACTGTAATCAAATTAGTACCGCTGCTAAACTGATTCCAGTTAAAATGTTCCTAAGTAGTGATGGATAAATTTCATAAGGTTTTGTTGGGATGTTTGTTTGAAATTTTTTATACTGGAAGTCTCATGAGCTCAAGTTTTTTTGGAAGATTTCCCGTGCTGCCTGACTTTGTCTGAGCTGATAGTCCCACAAGACCAGCTCTGATTATGGTATTATTCCTCAGATACTACGTTGATTCACAGATTCTAAGACTAGAAAGGATCATTATGATCATCTAGTCTGATCTGCTGCATAACACAGGCCATATAATTTTACTCAGTAATGAGCACAATAAGAATTCCTATCAGTACATATTTCAGGATTTACAATTCCAAAATAAAGATATAGAAAGGCACATTTTTTCAAGGTATCCCTCCCTCCCCACTAAGTGCCCCCCCCAACTTTAATCTTTGCAAACCATTAAAAAAAATCTTGTGTGTAGGTTTTTATTAGGGCTGTCAAGCCATTCAAAAAATTAATCGTGATTAAACAATAATAGAATACTATTTATATAAAAGATTTTGGATGTTTTCCATGTTTTCAAATATATTGATTTCAATTACAACACAGAATACAAAGTGAACAGTGCTCACTTTATATTTATTTTTTATTATAAATATTTGCACCGTAAAAATAAAAGAAATAGTATTTTTCAATTAATTAAAACAAGTACTGTACTATAATTTCTTTATCATGAAAGTTGAACTTACAAATGTAGAATTATGTACAAAAAATAACTGCATTCAAAATTAAAACAATGTAAAGCTTTAAAGCCTACAAGTCTACTCAGTCCTACTTCCTGTTCAGGCAATCGCTCAGTTAAACAAATTTGCTTACATTTGGGAGATAATGCTGCCCACTTCTTGTTTATAATGTCACCTGAAAGTGAGAACATGTGTTTGCATGGCACTGTTGTAGCCAGCATCGCAAGATATTTATGTGCCAGATGCGCCATTCATATGTCCCTTCATGCTTCAAGCACCATTCCAGGGGACATGCATCCATGCTGATGACGGGTTCTGCTCAATAACAATACAAAGCAGTGCGGACCAACACAAGTTCATTTTCATTATCTGAGTCAAATGCCACCAGCAGAAGGTTGATTTTCTTTTTTGGTGGTTCGGGTTCTGTAGTTTCCACATCAGAGTGTTGTTCTTTTAAGATTTCTGAAAGCCTGCTTCACACCTTGTCCCTCTCAGATTTTGGAAGCGATCAAATCAAATTCTTAAACCTTGGGTCGAGTGCTGTAGTTATCTTTAGAAATCGCGCACTGGTACCTTCTTTGCATTTTGTCAAATCTGCAGTGAAAGTGTTCTTAAAATAACAACATGCTGGGTCATCATCCGAGACTGCTACAATATGAAATATATGGCAGAATGCGGGTGTAAAACAGAGAAGGAGACATTCAATTCTCCCACAAGGAGTTCAGTTACAAATTAATTAACGCATTATTTTTAAAATGAGCATCATCAGCATGGAAGCATGTCCTCTGGAATGGTGGCCAAAGCATGAAGGAGCATACGAATGTTTAGCAGATCTGGCATGTAAATACCAGCTACAAAAGTGCCATGCGAATGTCTGTTCTCACTTTCAGGTGACATTGTAAATAAGAAGCGGGCAGCATTATCTCCTGCAAATATAAACAAAGTTGTTTGTCTGAGCGATTGGCTGAACAAGAAGTAGGACTGAGTGGACTTGTAGGCTCTAAAGTTTTACATTGTTTTGGTTTTGAGTGCAGTTATGTAATAAAAAAAATCTACATTTGAAAGTTGCGCTTTCACAACAAAGAGCTTGCACTATGGTACTTGTATGAGGTGAACTGAAAAATACTGTTTCTTTTTATTATCATTTTTACAGTGCAAATATTTGTAATAAAAATAATATAAAGTGAGCACTGTACATTTTGTATTCTGTGTTGTAACTGAAATCAATATATTTGAAAATGTAGAAAAACATCCAAAATATTTAATAAATTTCAATTGGTATTCTATTGTTTAACCATGCAATTAAAACTGCGATTAATTGCGATAAATTTTTTTAATTACAATTAATTTTTTGAGTTAATCGCGTGAGTTAACTGTGATTAATCGACAGCCCTAGTTTTTATATTATTCAAAAATTCTGCCATCTCTACATCTTAGAGATAAATGTAGCAAAATATTATTTATCCATCTAGCTTGTTGAACAATGTCAATATTAGAGATTTTGTCCAGTTTTAAAACTATACCACCACCACAATCAATCCCACAGGCAAAAACAGATAAACAAGATAGTCCTTATACCATGCCCTGAGGACCAATCCTATTGATGGAAGACACAGAGAGAACAGACACACATCCAATGTGCTTCTTCAGAGAACTAGAGAATTTCCTTCTACCCCAAAGTCCCTCAGTTTATTAATTCCCTCCTCCATACAACACATCATGGTCCCCTCTCAGAAGAGGACGCCCAAGAACTCTGAGTTGAACTTAACTCCACAAACAGACTCAGGATCTGGTAGAACAGTGGAGAGAACAAGTTCCAGGGCCAAGGGCCCTACCGAGAATGCTGCATCACTGGTTTAGACATGAAAATCTAGAGAATACTACTTGAGTGCCCTACCTGCACTCATGGTATGTCTTCACTAACTGCCGGATCAGCGGGCAGCGATCAATCCAGCAGGGGTCAATTTATAGCGTCTAGTCTAGATGCGATAAATTGATCCCCAAGAGGTCTCTCGTCGACTCCTGTACTCCACCGCGGCAAGAGGCACAGGCAGAGTCGACAGGGGAGCGGCAGCAGTCGACTCACCATGGTGAAGACATCACGGTAAATCGATCTAAGTACGTCAACTTCAGCTACGTTATTCACGTAGCTGAAGTT